TTATCACTGTTACTGAAGTCATTCATTATTACCATCACCCTCACTTTACAGTCGTGGCCAGCATCAGACACTTGCCTGTCCAAGGCCCACCCCCTAGCAAGGGACACGGGGTCCTCGCACGTGGGGGTCCCTGATGTCCCCCATCCCGGCTGCTTCCCGTCCTCTTCCTGGCCGCCTGTGCCCAGCGGCCCTGGCGCTTTCAGGCTCTGCTCCAGGTGGGCCCTGTGAGCTCGGGGTGGGTGGAGGGGGGGAGAGCAGGCCAAGCGCAGTCCAGGAGAGAGGGTCACCACCTGCTCTGCACCCAGCACCCAGATCCAAGGCACCTGCGTGACCCGCGGGGTACCCAAGGCCTCGGAGGACACGGGACATGCGGCATCTCTGAGTCCAGCGCGGGCCGCTGGCCGTAGCAAGCCTCAGTCAGGGTTTCTCATGCAGCTTTCCCGCCCTGGCGCCCCTGGGGGCTGGGGGAGCCACGCCGCGGGGCACAGTGGGGCGCACCTCTAGCGCAGCCAGGCTCTCCCGCTCCCCTGCTGGGCTCAGCGCGATGGCTCCGCCGCGGCTGCTCCGAGCGCGCAGGGCCGCCCCACGCTCACAGCGGAGCCCCTGCCGGCCTCCTCTGCTTCCTCCCTTCCTGTTTGCAGCTGCGCAGCTGTCCCAGGCCTAAGAAGGCTGGGTCGACCCGAGCCCTCCTTCAGGAGCTGGGGGCTGGCGCGGGCAGCGCAGCCCAGCGCTGGACCCCGTGTTCCCTGGGGGAGGAGGAGACCTCTGCCCGGTGAGGTGCCGCGCGATCCCAGCACTCCGAGGCCTAGGTCCGAGCTGGGGAACTCTGCGGTTTAGCAGGATCCCAGGGTGGGGTTCCTTGGGGTGGGTGGAGGTAGGGTGCATTTGTGTTTAAGAAAAAATAGCTTTTCTACATTTCATTACAACTTTTAGAAAAAGGACAGTCTTGTGGTCGGGGGACTATGGTTTGGAGTGAGCTGCACCTGCGAATTAGCTACTACCCCTAAGCCTCTGCTTTCTCCTCCATAAAATGGGGGTAAAATATCCGTTTTTATAAGTCGTGGTGAGGAAATATATAGACATACTGGCCGTACTAGGGATTGAAGTTCGAACCCAGGGTCTTTATTTTTTGAGCCCGGGACTCACTGAGTTGCTAAATTGTCCAGGTAGGGCTGGAACTTGTGATAATCCTGCCTCAGCCTTCCACAAAAGTTTTTAAAAAGTTACAGGACAAAATGTCCTCCAGGAGAATTCACAAGGCCAACCCTACCAGAACCTAAGCGGCCAGCTGCCTCTTTTAGTAGGAAGCCCAAAGTCCACAACAGAATCTGGGTCAGGAGCTGTTGTTAGGTCAGCGGGACTCTGATGACGGGTATGGGATGAACGTGGCGGCTTTTGTTGGAGAGGGGTTGGAGTGCCACAAGAAGGAGTCAAGGAAGAGCGAGCACAAAGGTGGTGTGAGGTGTCCTGCCCTCCCTCGGCCTATTTTGAGAATCTCCCATGTAGACTAACCCTGAATCTCCAAGGCTCTCCCAAGTGAGCACCGTCCAGTTATGACACGTTTGAGACAGCAGGTGGCGCCGTTGAGCAAATTTGGATGCCAAGAAGAAACCTGAACTTGTTACCTGAGAAGTCGCACCTGCATTCCGGTAGCTGCTCCTTTTTTCCTGCCAGGGCAGAGGAGTGTGCGGGGAAGTGGGAGTTCCTCCTCTCTGAACTCCTCAGAGCTCCGGTTGGGGTTGGCTGGACCGTGCAGGAAGGAGGGCGGGCTGGGATCTGGTTGCCTGTCTATTCCCACGTGCTGTGCTACCGCAACCGTCTCTGGAATGTGGCTCAGGTCAGTCCTGGGTGGTGGCCACTTGCTGCCTTTCTGGAGGGGTGAAGAAATTCCGAGGCATCTTCTCACACCCTCCTTGGCACGATGACGCCTCTCCCCACCTTTCCCAGCTCCTTAGGTCCTGGAATCCCTGCCTTTCCTTAGAGAGCTGAAACCAGCCTGGGGTCAGGCTCAGCAGCAGAGCATTAAACTAGCATTCCCAGCACTGCCCCAAACAAACACATGTACACCTGCCGCAAGGATCTGGGACTCCACCGTAAGATGGACCAGACTCTTGGAAACATCTCCTCTGATAGGTTTTACTTTTCAGGCTTGTATCTGGCGAGGCCAGGTTCAGACAGCATCCACTGGAGTGGCCAGTGAACCAGGAGTTGTTCTCCTGGCTTTGTTCTGGAAGCTGATGGTCAGATCCAGAGGGAGGAAAACACGTCACTGGCCTGACAGCTTCAGCGAGTTCTCAAGCCAGCTCTCCTGAGCCCAGAGCCTTCCCACTCTGCTTGTTTTCCCTTTGCCTCCCCTTTTTCGTGGGACACTAGCTTAACTTCATTTATGTGGCTTTCTGGGCGGCCTTTACTCCTTTAGGAAACAGGAGGGTACAGACACAAACACAACTCTAAAAGGTCAGATGTCGTGGTATTGGCTGAGCCTGTGCTGATGTAAGGATACTACCTCGTCCTTCAGTGACCGAAACATCGAAGGTCCCCAAGACTGGTGGTGGACAAAAGAATTCCTTCCTTCCAGAGCAAGGCAGCAGAATTTCCCTAAATTCCCCTTAGCCGAGCTTCTAAAGCTCTAAACTCTTAAGGATGAAACATTTAATATGATTTTTAAAAAAGAAAGAAAGACTAAGGGCTGGGAGTGAGAGTGTTTACCCAGCATGCACAAGGCCCTGAGCTTGATCTCCAACACCTCCAAAACAAAGACATGAAATAACAAGCAGCACAAGTTGGGCCTGGTGATGCTTGTGTGTAATCTCAGCACTCTGGGAGGCTGAGGCAGGAGGGCTGCGAGTTTGAACCCAGCCTGGGCAACTTAGCCATTTAGCAGGGCCCATGACTCAAAATAAAACAAACAAACAAAAAAGCCTGGGAATATAGCTCCAGCAAAGGCCATGGGTTCAATCTCCAGTACTGGGGGTTGAGGGGGAAGCAAAATGTAATCAGAAAACAATATGAAACTACATCATCCAATGTACATTTTATACTTTTTAAGATATCTTTTCCATTGCAGAGGTCTCTCATCTTGTGCCTTGAGATGTTGGGACCCTCTTAGGATGCACACCTGTTCTATACCTCAAGCAGAGACAGCAGGGCGGGATGTTAACAGGGAGCGTCCTCGCCTCTCCCAGAGACCCCTCCCGGATGTGCACTCAGACTGCTACTCTTTTCCTGACTCTGCGTGAGCCCTTCTCAGCACTGCCCTATCCAGTGACCTCAGCTCGCTCAAACGGGCCTTGGGGCAGGGGCCACTTTATTGTACCAGTTACAGACCCGTCTGATTGTCAAGCTGCCAGACCCTTCCTGAGCAGGGGGTCTTCCCGGCGCCACTTTCAGACCAGGCGATGTTTGCTAATTGCCAGCGCCAACCCTGGCTGGTTCACCGTTTGCTGTGATGAACTCGGCCACACTGTGCAGAAGCGACTCCCTGACCTCTCTGAGCACTTTGAGCAAAGGCTCATGGTCAGAGGCATCTAAGCATTGAAAGGCATTCTTACCATCCAGGTAGATTTCAAAGGATTTCAGAGATGAAGGAGATCATCGAGGGGGTCCGGTGCTGTCCTGCAGAGAATGGAGCCGTGATCCTGCAGAGCCAGGCAAGTGACTGAATGACTTGCTGAAGTCCGAGAGCGCCAGTGTCCATGCTGAGATTCAGGCCAATGTATTTCCACACCACTCCTGTCTACATTTCCATGTCGGGCTCTTTCACAAAATTTTAACTGTGATCGGAACTTTCTTTGCAAAGTAGGAGATATACACACACGCAAGATAACAGAATTAAGAATGAAAATGATGGAGGAGTGAGAATTATTGTGATTTGCACAATGTGAGCTGTCTGTGATGGTGTCTTAAGGTTGGCGTGGAGGCGAATCTGGCCTCCCGCTACGTGGAATGAATGAATGAATGAATGAATCGGAGACAACTTAACTCAATCCACTGAATGTAGTGCTCTGGAAAACAGTGAAGTTTAGGCATGCTCCTACCCTTTGGAAGTTCATGAAGCACAGATACACACTTGAATTGTTAAACAAATAAAAATCAGACTTTGATCAGCAGTCCAGAATCACTATGTAAAAGAAAAAAAGAACACAAACAAGGAAACTCAACAGTAAGTGCAAGTAAATTACATGCATATTGATATGGTGTATGTATATTGACTTTTTTTTTGCTGCTCACTCACATGCATGTTATCTTTTGCTGTATGGTCTTCAGTGAACAAGGATGGTGTTTTTTGGGATTAATTCTTATACAGCTTCCTCCTCAGCTTTCATACACTAAGATACTGTATTAGTCCACTTCCTGTTGCTATTACACAATACCTGAGGTTGGATACTTCATAAAGAAAAGAGATTTAGGTCAGGCACAGGAGCACACACTTGCAATCTCAGCCACTTGGGAGGCTGACACAGGAGGACTGTGCATTCAAGGTCAGCTTGGTAAGCTTAGTGAGACCCTGTCTCAAAACAAAAAATACAAAGCACAGTAGTGTTCCTTGGATTCAATCCCAGTATTGGAAAGAAGGAAGGAAGGAGGGAGGGAAGGAAGGTTGGTTCACGTAGCTCACTGTTTTAGAGGCTCAGAGTCCTTGACGGCTCCTGGCCTCTTGAGTGCCCTTTGGCTGCATCACAGCGCACATCATGGTGGGAGAGTGTGAGAGGCAGAGATCACACGGCAAGACAGGAAGCAAGAGCGATCCAGAGGCGTTAGTCCCCTAAGGGTCCTTTCTGGAGGGCGCACCCACCATGGCCGCATTCCATCCCGGAGGCCCCAGCTCCTACAGGGTCCAGTCCTTCCTAACACCCTCACAGTGAGGACCACGCTTCCTGACCCATGAGCTCTCAGGGAACAAATCACATCCAGGCCACAGCAGCTGCTCGCTGCTACCTCTCTCTCTTGATTTGATTCTGGGGTCTGACGAATAAGCAGACCCTTATTTCCAGCCCATATCTTTCCCTCAAACTCCAACAATCCATTCTCTACCTCCTCTGGGAAGCTCAAAGGCCCCCAAAGCTCAGTGTGTCCAAAATGGAACTTGTTCTTTCTTCTGGAGTTCCTGTCTCACTCTCCACGCAGCTGTGCCAGCCAGAAGCCTGGAGCCAGCGGTCCTCTCCACAGGGACAGGAGCCGGTCTGTCTTGTCTTCTGCTGTGTCTTCAAGATTGGCGACAGAGCAAAGCACAGAGTGGGTGCTGAACAAACACTGACTTACTGCTGGTGACTCTATGTTGCACCCATTTCTGTCCATCTTCCCCGAGCTGCCAGAACCTTCCGACAGCCCTCCTGCAATAGCCCCCGCCTCAGCCCCATTCCCACCCATGTTCTGCACCTGGACCAGTGAACTTTCCAAAACACCAGTCTGACCCTCAGACAAGTGTTCCTGCCACAGTTCCCGAGGCTTCCTACGATCGCACCCTTGCACCCCGATGTCCCACCTCACAGGATCGAGTGCCCTGGCTCCACACATCCAGATTTCATGACACCTTCCATTGCTTGCCTTCACCTGCCACGGCCCCTGCACCTTGTCCTCTCAGCGTGGACCAGTCCTTCCTTCTTCGCTTGGTTAACATCAGCTCGCACAGAGGCTCAGTACCAAGGCCTCCTGGCAGATGGATTTGGTGAGATATCCTGCCCAAAATGACCACAGGTACTGACAGGAGAAACCAATACAGGATTTGTCTTGGTTTCATTTTGCGTAATTATTTTCTTGATAAAACTTTTCACAACTTGTGGGGAGGTTTCTATGTCTTGCTGAATGGGTTCACAGGTCTACTCAAGGACCATGCAAATGTGACTCACCATCTCTCTCTCTCTCCAGGTACTTTTGGAAAGTATGGTCCAATATGTTTCCCCATATTCTTTTCTATTTCATGTGTGTGTGTGTGTGTGTGTGTGTGTGTGTGTGTGTGTGTGTGTGTTTTGCTGGGGACAGAACGTAGAGCCTCACACATTCTAGGCTAGTGCTATGCCCCTGAATTACACCCCTGGCCCTATTTGGTTTTTTTCCTATTGACTGTGAGTCCTTAAAAGATAGATCCTATTCTGGTTTTAGATTAAAGTCTGTAAAGATGCTTCCCCAGTACAATATGAATGTTTTACAATTTTTTTTTTTTGACTTTTTGAGACAGGGTCTCACTATGCAGTTCAGGCTGGCCTTGAGCTCACTTTGTAGCGCAGGTTGATCTCCAACTTGCAACAATCCTCCTGCCTCAGCCTCCTGAGTGCTGGGATTATAGGCATGAACTACCACGCCTGACCTACATAATGTTTAATAAAAAATACCTTAAAGTAATAGGTTGGGGCTCCTCCTCATTCATGAATGCCTACAGGATTGTTTACGTGTAGTTTAGCCTGGAGATGAGGAAGCCCGCTGGAAGTCTTCTCTTCCCAGGAATCAGCGATAATGAGGCAAAGAGAAGCCTTCCCACTCATCTTCTGCCAAGAGACTTTCTCCTTCATGTAGGTGACAGAAAATGGGTGAACTGACCAAATCTTACAGAAAATTAGAATCAGTCTAGATGTTTCTAAAAGAATCCATAATTATAAGAATGTATTATTCCAGCACTCTGGGAGGCTGAGGCAGGAGGATTACGAGTTTGAGCCCAACCTAGGGAATTTAGTAACTTAGTGAGACCCTGTCTCAAAAACAAAAAAGGCTGGGGATGTAGCTCAGTGCAGAGGCCCTGGGTTCAGTCCCAATACCTCCAGAAAAACCCAACCCAACCCAACCCAAACCAAACCAAACTAAACCAAACCAAAAAAAAAAAGAAAAAAAAAAACAAAGAAGAGGGAGAAGAAAAAGGAGGAGGAAAAGAATTTATTCTTAGTATAACTGATAAAGAAGGAGTTCCAATCCAATAGGGATTGGGTGCTTGTGAACTTTTAAAAGTAACTTTTGTCTTTATACCACATCATGCACCAATACAAACTGCAGAAAGATTAACACATCAAGTGATGAAACTTCAAGCAGGAAACGATTATATGAAAACGTAAGTGAGTATTTTATATATAGAGAGAGGGAGGCCTTTTAGGCTTAAGAGCAAGGGAAAACAAAAAGTATTTTTGGCTTTGTAAAAATGAAACATAATGATCACCTTAAAGGGTAAACAACAAAATGGAGGGAGAGATAGAGTATCAGAAACAAAACTGGGCAGGGGATGTAGCTCAGCAGCACAGCATCTGCCTGGCAAGCCCAAGGTCCTGAGTTCGATTCACAGTACAAAAAAAAAAAAAGAAAGAAAGAAAAAATAGTAAGGCACATATCTATAATCCCAGCTACCTGGAAGCTGAGGCAGGAGGATCATAAATTCAGGCCCAGTCTGGGCAATGTAGCAAGATCCTATTTCAGAACAAAGGCTGGGGACATAATTCAGTTGCACAGCGCCTGCCTGGTGAGCGTGAGGTTTTAAGTTTGATCCCTGGTACCAAAAAACCCAAACAAACAAAGAAACAAACAACAAACTTTGAAATAGATCAAAGACCTCAATTTAAGAAGAAAAACTCTGCTGGGAGTGATGGTGCACACCTATAATTTCAGCAGTCAGGGAGGCTGAGGCAGGAGGATCCCCATGTTCAGACTCAGCCTGGGGGAGGGGAAGAGGACGAGGGTGGAAGTGGCATGGAGTGGGAGGGAGTAGGAAAGAGAGGGAGAGGGAGATGTTACTTTCATATTGTGTGGGTTACTTTTTAAGGAAGGAAGGCTTAGATGTAAATGGGAATGTGGAGAGGAGCTGAAAGAGTCCATTCACCTTCAGATGATTGAAAGGTGTTTTCAAGAGGCTCCCAAGGGAGTTCTGGAGGCTCCATTCTTACTCCTGGGAGATCTGAGGGTCCTCATTGGGTGGTGCCTGTGTGAAGAGAGGGGAGATAAGAGAGCAGAATGAAGAAGAGGATCAAACACTTTCGTGTATTGTAACTGCCTGCCTCCCCCAAAGATCTGTAATGTTTCACAAACTACCAAAGGTGAGTAAAAAAAAAAAAAGATTGTGAATTGACATTATTTACAATAGCATCAACAAATAAACTACCTGGGAATAAACCTAGCAAAAGACATACTGTGACTGAAAAATATGGTGCATATTAAAAATGTTTAATTCATTACAGTAAGACATTGTTATTAATCCCCCTCAAAAAACACCCCCTTTCTTTGAACACATTTATCCCATCTTTCTTGCCACTTTCTGAAGCAACTCTGGAGGCCTTCTTTCATGAGTTTCTGTAGTTGTGCTGTTGTGGCTGCCTGATGTTCCTAATTGATTCAAAACATTTCACTTTGGGGAACAGCTGTAAGTCGCACAGTGCCAGATCCGGTGAATAAGGTGGGTGAGGACATATTGTAACGTTTTTACGAGCCTGCCTTTGGTGGATATCACCTGGCAGCAGCCTTCGCTGTATTTTTGATCACACCTTGTAAAGACACGAAAGAAGACTTCCATATCTGTTTCAGAAACTGGTAAGAATGATGGGATAAGTGCGACTGAAGTGAGAGAGGGTTTTGAGGAAGACTAATGACAATGTGTCTTTTATTGTAATCAATTTTTAAAAGTTTAAACATTTGCCATAAATTGTGATCCCTTCTCATAGAAGGCCTCTAAAAAGTACAAGCAGAGAGAGAGATTAAATAAAAGGACACCTTTGTTCATTGTTTGGGAGATTCAATCTTGTAAAGACATCAAATTTCTCCAACTTGATTCACAAATTCAATACAGTATAGATCAAAATGTGAGCAGGGACTTTTACCCCAAGAAAAGGACAAATGGATTCTAGAAATGAATACGAAAATGCAAATGGCCAAGAATAACCAAGGAGTCTTAATAGAGGAAGGACAAAGTGGAAGAATTTATACTGTTACATGCCAAGGTATGTTGTAAAAGTACAATTAACACACTATAGCATCCTTTTTTTTTTTTTTTTTAGCATTTGTTTAAAAATAGACAAAGCTGAATGTGGTGTCTCATACCTATAATCCCAAGATCCTGGGAGGCTGAGACAGGAGGATCACAAGTTTGAGCCCATACTGGGGAACTTAGTGACTTAACAAGATTTTGTCTTAAAAAAAAAATTTTAAAAGGTTGGAGGTGTAGCTCAGTGTGAAGGTACTAGGTTCAGTCCCCAGGACTTTCCCTTCACCACAGAATAGACAAATAGAGGGACAGAACAGAGTGTAGAAATGTGATATTGAAGAGGCGGTGGGGGAAAGCTGAGATTTTAAATAAATGGCACTAACTTTAGGGGAATGGGCAAAAAAGAAATCTTGACTCTGTCTAATACCATATGGAAGGGGAAGTTTTGTAGTTTTGTGGAAAACTGCATTATCTGCAGCACACCCTCTGGGTCATCTGACTTCTTCGTTCTATGGCAGCTATATCACAACACTGCAACTCACAGATCACTAAGAGCAACGCAAAATTCATGGAAACAAATTATCCAGCTGAGGGACACCTCCCTCTCTGGGAAACAAAGGACAGTTTGCCTCTATTTGGGTATTCATTTCAGTATTCCTGATTTATAAATGTCTATCCTTCGGGTTCACCTTTGAACAGGCTGTAACACTTTACTAGCTCATTAGGAAATTAAATAAAATTTAACGTGTTCATTTTTATATCTATACAAGAGTCTTGATTTTTGTGCATGTGTGTACATGTGTGTATATATGTGTGGTGTACTGGGGACTGAACTCAGGGATAAGCATTTCTTTACTACTAATCTACATTCCCAGTGTAGTAGGATGACTTCACCTTCTTTTAAAATTAACTTTTAATGATATAAATTAATTCCAGGTGACTTGCTAATCTCAGTAGAAAAAGTAAAGCAATAAAGCTTCCAGAAGATTACAAAGGAGGCTATATTTGACTATCACTTTGGGACAGCAAATATTTCTTAAATAGCATATAAGCACTGTCCATGAAATAAAAGATTGATAGGTCAGGCTGCATTAAAGTGAGGAACTTCTTTTTATCAAGAAATGCCACCAAGAGAATGAAAAGGACAGCCACAGAGAGAAGGTATTTGCATTGCCTTTCTTTTGACAAAGGTGTATATATTCACAAATCAATAAGACGGACAAAAATCAATAACACAGAAGAAAAATGGACAAAAGATGTAAATAGGCACATCACCAAGACCATGTACAAAGAGCCAAAAACCTTCAGAAAAAGCACATGACCTCTCTAGTCCTGGGGAAATAAACAGTAAATGATTACTTGTTTGATCAGTCTTGTATATCTCTATTTGTTTTCCTGAGAAACCACTTTGAAGATATCAATAAGTAATATAACAACCATGGTTAATTTCCTACAACTTTGTCTGTCACTCTTTTGTTTGTACTGTTCTTATGCTATTTTGTTAATTGATGTCTGTCTGTTAATATCTTTTCCTTCTTTTATTAAAAACAAACAAACAAACAAAAAAACCACTGCGTAGCCACCAGGAGGGCAAAACATAAAAGAGTGCCAATCCCAAGACTGACACAGACGTGGAAAAGCCGGCTCTCTCAGTACTGTGGGAGTGTGAACTGGGACAGCCGCTCTGGAAGTGGTCCAGTTCTCTTAGTGCTGATCATGTACTCAACCTATGACCCAGGGATCTACTCTTGGGTGTGGGTGTATGCATTCTTGTATGTACACACCCACAGGACACCAGAGAATGTATAGCATTTTTACCCCAAGTAGCCCTGTATCAATTTCTTGTGATTGCTGTAAAAAAAAGTTGGCCACCACAAAGTTGGCTTAAAATAACAAATTCATTCTCTCCATATTCTGAAGTCTACAATCCAGGTGGGGGCAGGCCTGAGCTCTCCTGGGTCTAACAGTGATTGTGTTCTTTGTCTCTTTCAGTTCCTGCTGACTGTGAGCATTCCCTGGTTTGTAGATGCTTATGTAAATAGGCTCTTTATAATGAAATACCTGACAGACTTAGTATGGAATCAACCTAAAAGGAGGAAAAATTAGCTGGAGGTGGTGGCACACACTGTAATCTCAGGTACTAGGAAGACCTTCCCTCTCTTCTCCCCACCCTTTTTTATTTATTTATTTTTTTGTCTCTCTGAGACAGGGTCTCACTATGCAGTTCGGGTTGACCTTGAGCTCACTTTGTAGCCCAGGCTGGCCTCGAAATAGCAATGATCCTCCTGCCTCAGCCTCCCGAGTGCTGGGATTACAGGTGTGCACCACTATGCCCAGCTCTCCCCACCCTTAAATGTGGTGCTGGGGATGGAACCTAGGGCTCTGCTCGGGGGCAAGTGCTTTACCATTGAGCTACACCCCCAGGGCTGCCTGACTTTGTTTTGATTTTTGTTTTTTTTGAGACAGAGTCTCACTAGGTATAGTTCAGGCTGGCCTTGAACTCACTCTGTACCCAGGCTGCCGTTGAACTTGAGGTGATCCTCCTGCTTCAGCTTCCTGGGTGCTGGGATTATAGGCATGGCCAGGGTACTTGTTTTCATAGTTAGAGTGCATACAGATCATCTAGGACGATCACGCCATTTCAAGTGCCTCAACTTAATTACACTGGCAAAGATTTGTATCTAGACAAGGGAGCACTCATAGTCCAAAGATGAGGACACAGACTTACCTTCTGAAGAACCATCATTTGGTTCACTACAAGCCCCAAACTAGAAACAACCTAAATATCTATTAACTTTGGAGTGAAAAATAAATTGTGCATTCACATCATGGAATACTATGAACTAATAAAGACAAATTAATGCTAATGAAAAGGATCAAAGAATCTCATGAACAATACTGAGTGAAAAGAGCCAGACCCAACATAGATACCTAATGACTGATTGATTGATTGATTCATTTACTGTTCAAAACTTAAGTGGAAGGAGGGCTGGGCATGTGATGCACACCTATAATCCCAGTCCTTGGGAGGCTGAGGCAGGAGGATCACTGTAAGTTCGAGGCCATTTTGAACTACATAACAACTCTGTCTCAAAGACAAAATGAAACAAAAATAATGAAATGGATTTATGGAGATAAAACTGAAGGACATGGTAACCTTTGGAAAGGAGGAGAACTTTCTCCTCCTAGTGACTTGGGGGGCCTTGAGGGAAGATGTCAGCAGGTGTTGATAATATGTCTTATCTGGGTGGTCACACATTTTTCTGCATAGAATATTTAAAGTCTATTTTCTTTCTCTTTTTTTTTTTTTTTTTTTTGTCTTTTCAAGACAGGGTCTCACTGTGTAGTTCAGGTTAGCCTTGAGCTCACTTTGTAGCCCAGGCTGGTCTCGAACTCACAGTGATCCTCTTGCCTCAGCCTCCCAAGTGCTGGGATTCCAGGCGTGTACCACCATGCCCCGCTAAAGTGTATTTTCTTTACATCTTCTTTTCTTTGTTATACCTATGTGGTTTTTTTGTTTAGTTTTGTTTTTCTTTTTCAATGAGGGACTGAGCCCAGGGCTTTCACACCAAGCTACATCCTCAGTCTTTTTACTTATTTTGAGAAACTGTCTTGCTAAGTGACTAAATTGCCTAGCCTGGGCTCAAATTTATAATCCTCCTCTCTGCCTCCCAAAGTGCTAGAATTACAGGTAAGCGTCACCATAACTCAGGTGTTGTGGCACATTTTATAAGGAAGTTTGTTTTTAAAAATTTGTTCCTGTTATATAAACATTTTCTTTTATTTTCTGTATATGTGTATTAGGTTTCAGTATTTGTTTACTTAAAATTATGAATGATTAGAATAGTATTTCTGTTATGGATTTAGGAAGCACCGTCTCTTTGGAATGCTGGTTTGAGGGACATGGTATATAAATTTTAGTCTAACAGGTCTGGAGGAAAATTTGAAGTGCAGGAGCCAACTGTGCCATGGAAGAGGCTGCAACTCATTCCCTCGATTGTGCTCTGACTTCCGGGTTGTGGACTTGAGCAAATGCTGCTTCTCTGAGTGTGGTGCTTGCTGTGGGGAAGAATGTTGTTCCAGGGAAACACCCAGACTAGCGAAAGTGTGGTGTATCCTGGGATGGATCAGGTCGGGCTTCTCAAAAGTGATTCGAGATGCCCAAGACGGGCCACAGGGGCCATGCGGGGAAGGTGGAGAGAAGGCTGTTGCTCAGTGACAGAGCACATGCTTACCATGTATGTTCAAGGCCCTTCGTTCCATCTTCTACACTGAACACAGGGGGAGACATACACACACACACTCGCATGCACACACACACTCATGCACGCATGCATGGGTGGGGGACATGTGGTGTTGTCCCCTAATGTGGAACCCTAGGTAAGAGTTTTATCCTCAGTGTCTGAAGCCTGCACAGTCATCAGCCTGTCCTACATGGAGCGGCATCAGTCAGGCAGAAGAGGAAGCCGGGCGTGGTGGCACATGTCTGTAGTCCTAGCACTCAGGGGGCTCAGGCAGGAGGATGATGAGTTCAAAGCCAGCCTGGGGTATACAGCAAGTTCAAGGCCAGCCTGAGCAACACAGAGGACCACATCTTTTTTTTTTTTTTTTTTTTTTTTTTTTTATTTCAAAAACTGACAAAACAACAATGAAGACAAAATCAAACAACACAAAAACAACAAAAATGATACATGACCTCAAAACAAAATGATAGAAATTTACAGTTGTTGCTATATTACATACTATTATCTTCAACAAAGTTGTTCAGTTCACTAGACATAAGAATGTAAGATTGATCAACAATCAAAGACAGTAACCAGTAAAAAAAATTAAAAATTTTAAAAAATTTTAAAAAACATTGGAAATGATGCAGAGCTTCACCATACAAGATAGTAGGAGTTCATTAATGGTTCTTATACTGCATATTGTTTTCAGATCAGTCACTCTGATTACCAAATTCAAGTGTGCAAAATTGGTCAAGAAAAAAGAAAATTTTAAGCATTGACTGTTTCTCTCAATAAACCACAGACATCAGCAATACACCTATTCCAGCTATCCTTGTATATACATATAACTTGTTTTTCATTTAAAAAACCCAAAATAACAAAAACAAATACATAAACAAAACAGCATAGAGAGCAATAAAAGTGATACCGAATTTCAAAACATGGTGATAGGATATTAACAATGGTTGTTGTATTAAATAATGTCATCTTCAAAATGGTTGCACATATAACCAGATATTGGCATGCAAGATTGAGCACACAATTACATATTAACAGTTCCTTTCAATAAACCAACAGATATTAGTAGTACAATTATCCTAGCTATCCTGTGTGTATACACACACACACACACACACACACACACACATTTTTCTCTCTTCCTTCTTTTTTTTTTTGGTTTTTTTTTCCGGTACCAGGAACCGAACTCACGACCTTGCGCTTGTCAGGCAGGTGCTGTGCCGCTGAGCTAAATCCCCAGCCCCTCTTCCTTGTTTCTTTTTCCCACAGAGGACCACATCTTAAAAAACAAAACAGAACAACGGGACAGGAAAAAAGGGAAGGAGGGGCTGTTCACATCCTCCTCTAGATCAGCGGATAGCAGCTGATGGAGCTTCCTAACTGGGACGTCCGAGAGGCCACAGAGAGAACAGATCCTGGAGGGAGAGAACAGACCCGGGAGAGGCAGGTTCCTGATGGACAATTTGAGGAGGAATGAACACTCAAAACTTCTGCCTTTAGCCAGGTATAAAGGCTAAAAGAAGGTACATGACTGCAATCCCAGATCTTCAGGAGGAGGCTGAGGCAGGATTACAAGTTTGAAGCCAACCTAGACAATTTTTTGAGACTTGTATGAAAGTGAAAAAAAGGGCTCGGGGTGTAGCTCAGTGCAGAGAACTTGCCCAGCATGCACGAGGCCCTGGTTCCATCTCAGGCATCAAAACCAACTCCCAGACCCACTTCTGCTTTCCCTGTATTCACAAAATGGTTCTGGAAAGATGAAGTGACCTGTACCTCCAAGGAATGAACACAGACTTCTGTTCTAATCAGGAAAACAAACCTTCTACCGTGAAAAGATGGTTGTAAGGGTAGTGCTGAAGGTGGGGGCACCAGGGACCGAATGGCTGATGTCCCTTCTGCCTCCTGTTGCAGGTGTGGGAGGGGTGTTTTTCTGAGGACCCAGCACACTGGCAGCAGGCGGGAGAAGGGAGGGTGGGCTGCTGACTGAGATGAACATCCTCCAGCAGGCCACCGTTTCAGCCTCTTCATGCCCCAGCTGTGGGGCCGTGAGAAGAAAGCCCAATGCCAGGGACCAGGCCCCCCCTCACCTCCACCTGGAAGGCGGTCACAACCACACGGGGGCGGGGCGGGGGGGAGGCTGACTGGACACAGGAGCAGCAAGACAGGCATTTATCAAGAGCAGGGTGAATGAATCACTGTGGCTGTTTGTCACCACACCCCAGAGTCAGAGGCAAAGGAAAAAGACAAGAGCCATTATCAGCCCCTTTCTGCTCCTCCCTTGGGAAAAGTACATCTCCCACCTAGAATTCCTGAGGAATTTTCCTGAGACAGGGTTTCGCTATGTAGCACAGGCTGGCCTTGAACTCAAGCAATCCTCCTGCCTCAGCCTCCCAAGTGCTGGGTTACAAGGGTGTTCCATCATGCCTGGCCCAGAATGACTTCTAAGTATTTCTGTGGGGAAGAGTATGTGGCAATTGGCAAGGCAGGGACAGCGGCTCCTTGCATCCTGTTTGTCCCCATCCTCAGCACGGCCATACACACAGTCCCACATTGGGGATTCTTGACCTGAACACAAATCTGCATTCCAGATCTGTCGCAGCCACCCAGCTTGGTTACCCAGAGACCCAGGGGGCCAGGAGTCCTGGCGCTTTATGCTCTGCTGCTTTCGGAGGAGAACAGGTGGCTCACCTGTCCAGTCTAACCTGCCAGGCATCTTGCCCCGTGTTCAGGCCGGCTGAAACTTCCTCTTTCAGCCCAGCTAGAGGTGGGAGGGGTGGGAGGAAAGCAGTCATCTGGCCTGCCACGCCTGCTGCAGGGCTGTGAGAGCTATTTACAAACACTCAGCTAGCCTCTGAGGGGCCCCGCAGCCCCAGGACGGCCTGGCCTGGGGAGAGGGTGGGGTGGAGGGTGGTGGGGGGCCCAGGTTCACCCCCTGCCAGCCTGATCACTGCTGTCATCACGGTGCCTGTGTGCCCCCAAACCAGAATGTGGGCTATGAAACCAAGGGAAGACCAGTTCTGACTCCTGGGTGGTCAGCCAGTCACAGGGTCTCCAGACAATGTGCTGAGGTGTGGGGTGGCGTGGGGTGTTGTGCCGCGACGTGGGGAAAGACTGGTTTCTCCGCATGGTGAAGTGGCCTTGCCCTCTTATCCAATGCCTCTGCTTTAGCCAGAGTCTGGGCTGACAGAAACCCAAACACATGAGGTCACAGGTGGCTGGTGACGTTTTCTTCCTCTCCTGCTCCCCTCCCTCTGCCTAAGCCTTCCAGGGAGCAGAAGAGGTGTTTGTTTCATACTCAGTCCGGGAGACTGCCGGACTGGATTCATTCTGCACCCTCTCCATCGCGGGAGCAGCACTGAAAAACGTGCTCCCAGGGCCAGCTCTGACCTCACACCTTGACTCTACCCAGCGGGAAAGAAGTGGTGTGTCAGGCAGGCAGGCAACCAAGAGGAAAAGGCCTCTTATTTAATGCAGCAACAACTGAGAACAGACGCCCAGGCTGGGGAGGAGGCGGGCCCTCCTGGAATATCCTAAATTCCAGGCCCAGTGGAGGCAGCAGCAGCCCCTAGACAAGCTGTGACTCAGGCCTCACAGCTCTACTGCGGCTCTCTGTCTCCTCCTGAAATGCTGTTCCCCAGTCTCCTCCGCCCATTAGATCCCAGTTCAGCGCGGGTTCCTTCGTCCACCACCTAGAGAAACTACGCTCTTCTTCAAACACCCAAAGTGGTTTATAAGAAGAAAACTTCTTTCGTATTATCAAGGTGTGCCTTGGAACTAAGCGTCATTCAACCTTGTGTCCCCGAAGTACCCAGCACATGCCTGGCACAAAGCGAATTCTCCACGAATCTTTGTGGATATGAATTGAGCCAGGGCACTGAACAAGATTAGTAATAGGTTGTCAAAAAGGGAAATGGTACCCAAACCAAGAGCTCTGTTAGGCTTTCCGACACGCCCCCATCACTCAGGACACGCCCCCATCACTCAGCTCGTGCTAAATGGGCCTCGCTTGCCCACACGAGGCTTGTCTGTCTGTTCGGGAGGCAGGAGTCAGGAAGGGGCCCCAACAGCCACCCTAGACATTCCTAAGAGTGCGAGCAACCCGATGGAGAGGCAACATGGCTGAGTGTCCAGCTGGTCAGGGAAGGAGCTGCGCCATGGAACCAGGACCTGAGAAGGAAGGGGCCAAGCTCACAGACAACAGGAAGTGGCTGAGGGGGAGCCCGGGGACGAACCCCCAGGAGGACTTAGGGGTGAGGGCGGCCACTAGTCCTGATGTTTGGTTTGGCAACCCTATTTCCAGTTCCTTTTTTTTTTTTTTTTGCTTTTCCTAACTTGGCCTCGCCTTATTTGGTGAGAACAGGGCAAAATCAGACACTGGCTCACGTGTCTCACGGCCCCACTTACCTTCCCCTTTCAGGCCCTCACAAGAGCCTCACCTTCCCCTGCACCAGCCATGTCCGAGTCACGGCGGGCACTTGGGGGGAACTATCGCTGTCATCAGGTGCCGGGCGCCAAACTCCCGCGCGTTACCGCTCTTTTACAACAGTTCTCGGGGGTGACCGGTACCTCATTTATAGATGAAGGCACTGAGACTGAAGGAGGTTAAATCTTCCAAGGGCACACACCTGCTGGGGACGCTGGACCGGACACAGTCTGACTCCCAGGCCGGGGCTTTCGCCAGCCCCCGTCCAGCAGCTAGGGCCCCGGACCGCACGCCCCCGCTGAGGTCAGAATTCCCGCGGCGCCCCGCCCCGCACGTGACCTCCCTACCCAGCCCTCCTTGCGCCAGCCCCGCCCACCGCGCCCGGGGGCGGCCGGCGCGGGCAGGTGGGGAGGGCGGCGGGGGCGCGGCTGCGATGGGGCGCGGCCGGACGGGGGCGGAACCAGTGGTGCGGGCCCGGAAGCCTTAAAGTGGCCGGGCGGAGGGGCGGGCCCTACAGGCTGAGAGAGTGCTGTGGTGAGCGTGTCTCCTCAGCGTCCGTGCTGGCCGGGTAGGCGTCGTCGTCACCATGTCGCTGGCGGCCTCCGCAGGTCGGGGCCTGGGGGCCGTGTGGTCCCCAACCCATGTGCAAGTGACCGTGCTGCAGGCGCGGGGCCTGCGGGCCAAGGGTCCCGGGGGCACGAGCGACGCGTACGCGGTGATCCAGGTGGGCAAGGAGAAGTACGCCACCTCGGTGTCCGAGCGCAGCCTGGGCGCGCCGGTGTGGCGGGAGGAGGCCACCTTCGAGCTGCCTCCGCTGCTGTCCTCCGAGGCCGTGCCCGCGGCCGCCGCCACCCTGCAGCTCACCGTGCTGCACCGCGCGCTGCTCGGCCTCGACAAGTTCCTGGGCCGCGCCGAGGTGGACCTGCGGGAGCTGCACCGGGACCAGGGCCGCAGGAAGACACAGTGAGTCCGAGCCCGGGCGGCGGGGCGGGGGAGGGCGCCAGACCCACCCAGCTGCGAGCTGGCGCCCAGCTCTCCGACTGCCTGGGCTTTTGGAAAGCAGGGGCGGTTTTGAATCTGCAGGGTGCCTTTCAGCGGTCAGCACTAAATGAATTTTTGATGAATTGAAACTATATGTGGGCAGGCGAATGCTTCTTATTAGGACGGGGTAATGTGTCTGTTACACGCATTAATTCACGCTTGTGTTTAATCAATTCACGTGAGTGTTTCACCGAACCGCGCACTTTGAGCTGAGAACCACTGGGCCAGGGCTCAGGGGAGATTAGCTGGCCGAGTAAAACCCCCCAGACACTTCCAGGCCTTTACAAACCCAAGGACAGAGCCAGGTGTATGGAAATGTCTGTGCCACCCTCACCTGCCTTGGCGCTTGATGGAAAGAATTTGCTCTTCCAAAAAGCATGCTAGAAAGTTTGGTGGTTGTGGGTCCCAAAGTAGAAATCTCAGTGATGGATGGCTGTAGGGTCTGCCCTTGGCCCACAGTGCTTGCTTCTCTTTGGAGATCCTCAGGCGCTTCTCGCTGGTCCTGCTCCTAGCGGGTGGTGGTTTACCTGTTGCTTCCCAGAGGAGGGATGTCTGTCGGGGTAGTTACTTCCACAGGGAAAGCTAGGCAAAACTCAGTTCACCCCAGTGTTACTGATTTATTGATTTTCTTTCACAAGTGTTTGGAGAGGGCAGTGCTTAACCCTATGAAACATTTGATTATGTTTATCTCATACACCAAAGCTAGCCTTGATTAGTCCAATTAGTTCTTTTGCTTGACCTTCAGTAGGCCAGCAGTTATCTTGGCCCTGAAACCCTCCAGTGCATGAATATACAGACTATTTGAACTTTTACTTGTGAGGGAGACAGGAAAAGCCGGAGAGGTTGTAGTTACCATCCTCTTTACTTTAGAATAGATTCAGTTTCAGCATGCGTGCTTGCAACTGGAATATCTGATTCGCTTATCTGGCAAAGATGAGTAGGCATTTCTAAATTCAAATCAGATGAAAAAAAAAAAAAGTAGAGACCCTTGATGTGACGCTGGATGGGGTATCTGATAGCATCAATTTACAAGCCAGAAGGTGAGTAGTGTCTTTGCTAAGGAGGGGCTGGAGCAATGCTAATTTGCCATCTGATTAAATGACATTTGAAGCCTCAGGTTGTTGGCTGTTGGCTGTCCTTTGTCTTACCACATCCCAAGATGTGTGGGATATTCACTTCCGTCTCTGCCATCTGTTTTGTATGTGACTGTTGCATCCCCTTGAAAGACAGACCGCATCTGCTTGCAAGAGATGGGGGTTCCAGAGTCCTGGGTCTGGTGTCCACTGTGGTTCTGACTCACTGTTGGGTTGCTGTGTCTCTAAACACCTCAGTTTCCCTATTTACAGATTGACATATTGCCAGACTTAATTAGTGTGTGCAAGGCATTTCTGGGTTCCTGAACTAATGATACCATTGTAAAGATCCCAAAGATTCTACATTGTTGTGTGAGAGATGAAAACCTTCTGAGCTCTGTCAGGAAGGGCTCATTCTCTACATTTGCATTTTTCTCATCTTCTCTAAGGTAATTCTAAACCTACATGACTCCTCCTTCTATTACACGAGCTGATTACCACTTTTTACAGACTTGATGTGCAGGAAAATGATGCTTAGTTAAATGGGTTTTTATAAGTGCAGTGGAAGGCATTTTTGCTTCTGTACCAGTAGGTGAAATTGCAAGCTTTCCATTTACCACTTCCTGGGACTTTCCAAGGTGCTGGGGGATCTCATTTAAACTAAGCCTGTCTGATGTTCTGGTGTATCACCAAGATGCCCAAGATAGCTGAGATTTGGAAAACAGTATCTGCACTAACAGGTGGAAGCTTAACAGAAACTGGTTGGGCTAGGAAAATCATTTGAACTAGTTAGTTTGAACTAATAGTTCCACCTTAAGAATTAAACTCCACCTTAAACATTAAAAACCAAAAGCAAAACAAAAGCTAAAATCTTGTTCTACAGATTGTGCACACGTGGGTGCATGTGTTTGGGTGTGTGTGTCTGTCTGTGTCATAATCTCTGGCAAAGAAGAGTTGCTTCAGTAGAGCATGACTTTGGTCATGGGTTCAGATGCTGAAACTCAAGAACCATTAGTGCATTAAGAGCAGCTATGACTGTTGTGTCTCATGCCTGTGATCCCAACAGTCTAGGGGGCTGAGGCAAAAGGATCAAAAGTTCAAGCCTAGCCTGGGCAATTTAGTGACTTAGCAAGACCCTGTCTCGAGATAAAAAGGGCTATGGATATAGCTCAGTGTAAAGGTCCTGGGTTAATTACCTGGTATCCCCCTCCAACTGTGCTAATATTTCCATTTATTTTCTTGATAAGCCTCCATCAAATTCATCTGGAGTCAAGACAGTGGGCTTTTTATCATGACTTCAAATTTGCCAAACTCAATTTTAGTGTGATGACACATACCTTTAAAACACCAAACAGGCTGACAGATAGGATACATTTACTAGGGAAGAATATGTGGCCTTTAGCTAGGAAAAAAATTGAAATAAATTGATCTTGCACTTATACATCTGTTAAAGCCCTGGAGTCTCAGTGGGTCTTGGCTAAGTGGGAATCAGTTAAGTACCATGACTACAGTAAAGACAGGAAATTTAGTCAGGTGGACCAAAATGTAGGATCATCTGTTCAGCTCTCTAGTCTCATATACTTTGGTATCCAGGATGGATTTAAATTTTTTAAATTTTTCCTTAGGCTACTAAGAGCAACAGAATTTTGAGAAATAATCTCTTAAAGACAACTTTGATCTGGTGAGTTGAAGGCCATTGTATAACCAAGTATCATGAAACAATATTGTAGAAATCCGTCGAGTGTGGAGAGAATATGAGTGATGGCTGGTCATTTTCTTAATCCATTGAAGACTCAAGAGAGAATTTGGTTACACGAAAGGATTTGGATATTCTAAAGAATTGTTAAGTATAGTAAGGTGCTGAAATAAATTATTGATGGAAAATTTTGATTTATTAAAAAGAAATAAATCTTTTGATAAATGTTTTCTGGGAGAGTTAGATGCTGGGAAATGACTTAGAGATCTAAAATTTAGAAATGATAAGTAATCAGGATTTGTATTTGTACCGTTAGACTTGCACATTTTCAGGCTCTTTATAACAAGTTGGAAAATTCAAGTAATGTTGTGACCAGTGAAGTTTTTTCTTTCTTGGAATTTCCTTTAAAGATACTGGAAACCCTCCCACCTCTTAGGCAGCCACAGCCCCTCCCACCTGGGTGTAGAAAATAGCTCAGTATTCAAGGCCCAATCAGGCCTGGAATAAACAGCCCTACCTTGCTCTGGCAGTGGAATAGAATGACCAAGATGGGAGAGTACATCAAAGTCCTCATCCTCTGATGCAGGAGATGTTCCCTTGAGCTTTGCAGATGGTGCTGCTTGTGATCCCACTGTAAGAGGAAATTCCAACTGCTTTTTATCCCTTTTTTGTCTCTAAAGTTCATCTGTTCTTTTCATAATGATTTCTTAATACCTACCATGTGCTGGTGCTGGGTATGCAGTGTAAGTGGTAGACAGGGCGAGTATGATCTTGGCTTTTGGGGAGCTGAGTCTGGCAGGGAGTAGACATTAAACAAATGAACACACATAAGTAATCATGTGTTTTTGATAAGTACTGTGGAGGAAGAGAACAGGATATCATAAAAGAAAAGATGAGGAAGGGCATGATTTAAAGGACTTTTTTTTTTTTTTTTTTTTGGTTTTTCTCCGGTACCGGGAACCGAAC